TTTTTAGTAATTCACTTAAACCAAAGTTATATTTTTTTGTAAAACAATGAAAATATTCATTTATTTCAACTTATTGTTTTCTGTGGCTGATATTTCAGCAATACACAGATTAAACGTTAATAGTTTAGCTTCATTTTTGTCATTGATATCAAATTGGTATAATATATACTTTAATAACTTCATTTATGTTTTCTTATTTTATCAAACATTAATTAATAATCTCAATTCTGAATCCTGAAAATATTTTTTTTCATTTTTTTTAAACTTTTTCACATATTGAAATAAATTGAAATAAATATTTGGAGGTGGGATGATTTCTCTTTATGACTGATAATATGGTAGGGAAGCTAGCCAGAAAAGAAACTCTTTAAAAGATCCATCAGGGAAGGAATCTTGTAGGAGTTTTGTAGTCAGAGCTACTCTGAGTACAAGTAGCACAAAGTTTTAAGTATTTTGGCAGGCAAGTTTTCACTAAAACATAATGTGAGTTGCTATGACCATAACCGAAAAGTTCCCTTGCATCCTCTTGAGAGAGGCACCTATAGCTATTTCTAAGTAATTTAGCTCTCAGAATTTTCTACATAAACCTGTATAATTTTACAGCTGGGGTAAATGGAGCCAGAAGAAAATGTTAAGAGAAAAGAAGGATTAAGATGATTCTGAGAAATAATAGTGTTTTTGGACATAAATTGCAACACCGTAAGAAGCAGGATAATAGATGCTTGGCTTGGCACCCTTGGAATATTATACTTTGTTACCCAAAAATCTACTGCATCATGCAATATGAGAGAAAATAATTTGACAAGTTAATGAATTTGTATTTTCTGTCACCTGAGTGCTCTTCCTCTCCAAAAGCTACCCACACTCCTAAACAGTGTCTGTTGTAAACGTCAGCAGCACACATCACAGAATGTCCTCACTTTCAGATCACTGCCTTCTCTGGGAATGTCACTGGGCAGGAGTGATGGGGGAGCTTTTCCCCAGGGCTTGAGTGGTGAAAGTCACAAAGCTGATGTCTAATGCTATGGATTGCAGTATTCCAGCGCCAAATGAGGGATTCTAAGTGACAGGAGTGCCTACAGTTTCTGTAATACATTTATCTTTGCATGTATGATTGTGAGATGCAGAGATCTCAACTATGGGGCCTAGGCCTGAGGACAGTTCTATTCTAGGGACATACTTCTTTTCAAATCTGCCTTGTTAATAGTCACTCAATCTTTGTGAAAAATAGAATTAAATATGCTGATAGAAGGGCCAAGAGTATAAACAGTTATTTCCCTCTTATTAAAATTTGTTTGTAATGCTTACAGAATTATTTTAAGTTACCTTGTGTGCCATGTGGTTTAACAAGAGAGTAAAAGCCCACTGCCATGAAAATAAATATCCCTGGCTGGCACTACTTCAGTAATTTACCTAGCCTAAGGTCATTCTAAAGCAGTTTAAATGCATCATTAATCCACAATCCTCTAAAACACTAAAATACTTAAATAAATTACAATGGAGTAGGATGAGCCTGAAGAGAGGAAAAAAACTGTCAAGATATGATACATTTACATGATGCAGAAAAAAGTCTCTAAGACTCATGAATAAATTATTGCTGAAATGAAAGGCATGATAAAGAGCTTAGAAGACATGATACATCCAGTTTCACTTGGTCCAGAAAGATTAAGAAAATGAATCTTGGATTTCACCTTTCCACTTGTGAATTTTCATTCACTTAGTTTTAACCTTGGTAACTCAAAATTTTCACGTTCATTTTTATTACATCCCTTTTCTTCTTCCAATTCTTTTATACCCTTGATTGCTGCCCCTTTTATTTCTAGCAAAGCGTATACCTCAGTCATACTTATGCAGACGTGAATGTGTGAGTGTGCAGGGGTGCGTGTGTATTTGGGGTGGGGCCCGTAAGTGGAGTTAGCAAGATCAAAGCTGACACACATGTAGAAATTAAGCAAAAGACAGTCAAGTGGAGGAAAAAATTTGTGAAATATAACTTTATAACTTAAGTCACCAAGGACTTTATTTTTCCTTAAATAAATAAATACACCAGAAAGTATCTTACATAATTTTACTTTCCAGATAAATTTCTGACCAATCAGTAAAGCAGATTAAACAAAAATCAGAGATTGTAGAATACTATATAAATTTATGAACAAATTTAAAAATTCATCAAGTTATGAAGTCTGAGAAAACAGATTTTAGCAGGACTAGAGCAGCCTGCAGTACTAACGGCAGCTCTTCTCCTTACTTACTCCCTGTTACAATAATGCCATGAAAGTCAGCCTAGTGCCTGTGTTGTATATGTCTCCCCACATCCTGAATCTACACACTTTTCTGTTGCCTATGTTATCTGAGCTGCTACATGAAAAAATTCTGGATTTTTATTTATGCTCAAGGTTTTTCAAACCTGCATCAGCACTTTCTCGTCTAGCCTAAGTTCTTTATACCTTAAGTCTCAAAATATTCACAAAAAAGCACCTATAACTAGTGTTACAAACTCATGTTTTGAAAATAAATCTATAAATGCATATATTTGTGTAATTTTGTTGCAAAGAAAAACAGTAGGATCTGTTTAGCTTTGTGTTGAATATCTGTGAGGTTCATGGCCCTGGGGGAAAGACGTAAGAGACAGAAAAAGGGAAAACAATAATATGTTTATTAAATGTCTCGGTACCTTCCTAAAAAAGAAGTGTTTGAAATAAAGACAGGAATGATAAATTTTAAACTTTTAAACACAATAATAAAAGAAAGAAATAGACAAAAGAGTGAAGGGAGAAAACCGTATGGAACACTCTTAATGAAGAAAATTATACCAAATGAGCACAGTATTTATTTTGGGGCCCTAAGAGCCAGGCATCTATGACTCTCGTCATGTAAGCCAATAACATACCAACTTATCAAAGACAAAAGAGTGTTCTCCTAGGCTTTGAGAATAATTTCCCAGGATGATTTGGTAAGAGAGTTGAGTAAATGTTTCTAAACAGGGAATGTCATACATAATTAGTGATATCCTCATAGGCATTTTTCCCTTTATGTTATTTTGAAACAATCTCAAACTTTAGAAAAGTTTCAAATACTGTACAAATAATTTTTTTTCCTGAACAATTGTTAGAAGAAATACCAGAGTCCTTCTGTGTTTTCATTGCATCCTATCAGCTAGCCCACAATTTCAGTTTGCTCCATTATTAAGTGATCATTTTAGTCACTTATTGTAGCACCTGCCAGTATCTCTCACTGTAAAATTGCTCTTTTCTCCCTTTATAATTATTAAGTATTTATATGCACATATTTATGTCTATATTCATTTTATATCTAGAATTGTATTACAAAAAATAAATTCACACTGGTGTCTCCATTCAAACCTAATACCTTAGGGTTCATTCCAGTTTTCTGTTTTGCCACAGTAACTCCCTTCTCTGATGAAAAAAAATGTAGCTTCCCTTTTCCCTCACACATTCAGTTATTTGATCTATTCCCTTGTATTCCAACAATCTTCTATCATAGCCACCACCCAATTCTTATGTGAACATGTGTCCCTCACCTCACCAAGGCAGGTAGTGACAACTACAAAAGAAGATGGGAAAAGTTTACTGGGTTAAAGTGAAACAACAACAAATCTTCTGTATCATAGAAAACAAAGTAGTCAAATAAAAAAATATATTTAAGTGAATGAAAAAGACAATCACGTCATATTCAGGATAATGATTAGAGACCGAGAGTAAGAGGGACACTCGAATAGAGCGTGGTACATGGCAAGGCTGGGATGTCTTCAATTACATTTGCTCTGTTTAATCTCTAAAGATGAGAATAGGTGCATTGTCTTTGTATTTTTTCTTCATCTTTTTAGTGTCTAAGACATTTCTTAAGAAATAATTATTAAAATAAAAAGATACTGACTTGCCCTTGAGCAATTATTTGACTGTTGTTGTCTGCCCAGAGTGCAAAGCTCATCTCTACTCTGGTAAATAGGGGATGCAACTTACAGCAGTGCAGAATTAGAAAGAGTAGTGACAAATAGTTTCCAAAAAGATAGTATGTAAAATCAGATGTAAAAAAATCAACTATTTTTGCATAATTCAAAAATACATATTTCCATCTAGTACTTTTTTTTTTTGGAGAAAACTGTAAAACTTTATTGAGATAATTTTAAGTCAAACATCCAATATAAGAACAGCTTGCATTGTTTCACCTTGTCTTCGTTTAAACCTGTGGTTGCCCTTCACCTGCTTCTGGCACTTGAACGGGTTCTAGATTTGACAGAATCTCCCCCTTGACATCAGGACCATCTCCACGTTTACCTCCAGTCTTTGCCTCAGAGAATTCCAGGAGATCAGCTTCTATGTCAGGCTCTTCATCTTGAACCTCAGGTGCTCCCACATCTTCTCTCTCCTGACCAGCTGCAATATCCTGAGTTTCAGTTGGTGGCTCCTCTTGTTGAGGTTGTTCCTCACTGGGCTGCTGGGCAACCACAGGCTCAACTGGCTGAGAAGATTGTTCTTCCTCTCCTCTCTCTCCAGATTTAAATGCTGATAGTACTTCCTCACTCATATTTCACACGACTGAGTCTCAGCCAAAGACAAGGAAGACGCGACCGCTCCTTCCATAGCTCTGTCCGCAGCGGGCCGAAAGCAAGGCGCATGCGCAACAGCAGCCTTGCGCGGAAAGGAGCATGCGCACTCTCCATCTAGTACTTTTTTCATGTCAGAGCGCAACCCTAGTTTCTTGTGCCTCTGATATCAAATTAACTGTCTCAGTGCCCACACCACTGAAAGATCCTAGGAGAGAGAAATCGTTGAGGGAGGAAATCTTACTACTGTTATTATTAGCTGTAGTATTTTGTGATACTATATGGCTATGTGATAATGCCACGTTTCCAATCCCTTCAGCTCCAAATATTACATAGAATCTAATGAATATATAGATATTGCAGTCAACATTCCTCCTCCTCCTCTTTCTCCTATTGATTGCACACTGTATTATGAGAACATTCCTGAATATTTTTCATCTTTGTTTACAGCAAACCCATAAGGTTATTATTGCTATTAACTAATATTATTTTAAGATGAGAAGACTAATGATAAAAGAAATCTGACAGGTTGTCTTTAACATAACAAGATTATGTTGTAAAATTTACTTAGCCATTAGTAAGTAACATGTAAGCACATGTAGACATATACTAGTAACAATACAAAACAAACTATTATTTATTAATTGAACACAACTATTTTCTATTTTAGGATGTCACAGTGAATGGAGATTGTCATTTGCTTTAAAAATTAATGCTATATCCATAAATTCTAAAAATGTAAAATAATGATCTGTGCCACTATAGATATCAAATATTACATTCCATATAATAAATAGCTAATCTGCCTAATTAGTCAATTTTATATCTCAAGTACCATCTAAATAATATTATTAAACTGTAGACATAAATAAGTTATTATAAACTACAGCCCTAAATAATAATGCAAAATAATTCAGCACCTAATACATGTTTAACACTAAACAGTAAAACAAAACCATCACATGTATATACGCATAGACACGTAGACACAGATACACACACATACATAACAAGGCCAAAAAATATAACTGAACTTAGGCATTTTCCATTTTTCTATAGTACTTTGTATATTTTTCAAGGTAAAATACAACATTATTTTCTTTCAATAATATAAAAAGGGAACCATGGAAAATTAAACAGAAAATGTGCTCATGATCTTATAAATCCTTTCAAATTTACTCCTAATTTCTAAGTAATGTGTTTGTCAATCTTTCTTCTAAAAACTAGACACAGTAAAGATGGTAAGAAGAACATGGAGAACGGTTTCTGCCTGTCAGTAAGTGGTGAACTCAGGTGTTGTCGTTAGTCTGATGACGCTCAGTCTTTTTGTTAGCTCTAAAAAATATTGCAGCTTGTGACTAAATGTTATCTCTACAAGGTTCTTCAATTAAAGTAAATCCATCTCCACATTCTAGGGGAAAACCCAAAACATAACAACAAAGCACTTTGCTCCCTTATTCATCAGTTTTCTCTATAGCCACTGGCTCTGCTTCTTCTATCTAAACCTGTCTGATTTACGCCTCTTGTCCTTTCCCCCTCTTGTCTGTGTCAATGACAAAGGAGAACACTTCCCATGACTTTCTAGGGACACATCTTTGAAGGGTACAACTTCACTTTCCCAGCACTAGCATTGCCCCCCTCTTCCTAAAATCTATTAACGATCACATATTGTAAACATGCATTATATGTAAAATCTATTAGCCACTATGTATTGTATAATCTCAATGAATGTAATGTAAGGGAAAACCCTACATTCACTTCATTATGTTTGTTTTCCTATAAAGGAAGACTTTTGGAGAGTTTACTGGGGTCAGTATCCTAAATTTACCAGGCCAATCAAGCTCAGATTCCAATGTGACATTTCCAAAGAGAATTGTACTAGAGACAAAATTGCACAGCAATGTCGTTTAAAGGAAAAATTGATGAACCTTAGGAAAATTAAGACTTGAATTAAATCCAAGTATGAATGTTAATTCACTGTGTGGTTTTGGCAAATTTCTTTGCTTAGTTTTCTCATGGCTTATGAGAAAGTTAGATAAGATTATTTTCTCTATCTTGAAGTGGCAATCAGTGTGGTAGGTGAGAAAATACACACTTACTTGGTTTAAAATACTTATACTTAAAATCATAGACTTCCCTGAAATATGATCATTAACTTTTTATACTATGGCATCTGCTTACAAATGAGTTTCCAAATATTTTCCCAAAGCCAGGAAATATGAAAACTTAGCTAAAACTAAAGTTTATGTAATAACTAATTAAATAAAGTTTATTTAATATTTCATCTTTTTTAGGTTACTTTTTGAGTCTCAAATAAGTTTCTCAATTCATGACAAGAGCATAAAAATGTGTATGCAAAGTTTTATAGAAAGGACATAACACTACTTTTTTTAGCATTTTCAAGTACTAGTTAAAATAATTTTTCTAAAGCAGTGCATTTCTAGAAGATAAAGATCAATATGGATTAGAGAAACATAGTTATTTGCCAGAAAAAATAAAAAATATATACATATAAGCATGTTCTAAAATAATTCACATAATTGAATATATTTCATTTAAGAGACTGGAACAAATGTTTACTCAGTAGGTCAACGTCTGTGCTAATATGAACCCATATACCAAGGCTAATTTAACAACGCAGAAATCTGATAATATGTTATAACTTGGACAGTACTATCAACAACCAATAGAACTGAGGAGTGGAAATAAAATTTCTCCTTACCATGCTATATAAACACATTCTATGTAACATCCAAAATGTGACTACATGCCTGCACAACAAGCAAAAAATATCAGATACCACCATTAGAAAAGTGACCAAAGCACAGCTTTTGTAAGGAAAGATAAATAATTAAAAAAAAAAAAAAAAAAAAAAGTGACTAAAATTTCAAAATAGTTCAGATTTTAGCTAGGCATTTTTTTTTTTTTTTTTTTTTTTGAGCCAGTATCTCATTGGGTTGCCTGGGCTAGAGTGCAGTGGCGTCATCATAGCTCCTAGCAACCTCAAACTCCTGTGCTCAAGCGATTCTACTGCCTCAGGCTCCAGAGAAGCTGGAATTACAGGTGTGAGCTGCCGTACCCAGCCTTCTATTTTCTTCTTAATATTAACATTTTCAACAAATTCAGGCTAAACAGGATACATAATTAACGAATTAAAATTGGAATAAGTTATTTAAAAACCAAGAATCCATTCACGGATAATAATTGTTATTAGCAATAAACATTGTTAATAAATGGAACAAAAATAAGTTCATGTAAAATTTTATATCCCCGTTAACAGCAATTTATTGAACATCCATTGTATATTGTCATAAGCAATTCATACTGTACTTTGTATTCATAAAAAAACTGTTTTTAATATTACACCTTAGATTTTATATACTATTTTCTTACACTTTTGTACTCCTAATACTGTTCACAGTACATCACTAATCAGGTTGTCCATGGAATAGGCCTTAGGGGACAATCATCAAATCAGATTTGGACGATTCAATGCTATTTTATATTGATTAAAGTGAGCATTTAGCGTGGCTTAAAACTCAAAAAGTAATTCCCAAATATGTAACTTTGGGGATGTCTGTTGAAGTGAGGATAATTGATTTCATTTTACTTTCATGATAGAAGGACTTAGAAGCTTATTACATGTTTATGTTTGCCTAGAAATAAGCATATATCAGCCTGGAATATTCACCATCAGCTAGTGGAGAGGTCTACTTACCTTTTATCCTTTACTTTATGGATCTTTTGCCTGGCCTCATGGCAAAAAAGAATAAAAATCATTCTTATCGATTCCTAAGTGATGCTTTAGCTCAAATTTTTATACTTACTCAAATAAACCTAATAATCCAGAGCATAAAATTATAGTTGATTAAATGAGAAGCAAAATATTATTCTATACATTTTTTTGCAATGCACTCATATGTCTATCAAACCTGACAACTGGAAAAATTTATAACTATTTATCTATCTATATCTTTTTCAGTGTCATAAGGAAAATACTATCTAAAACTAGCCTTAGGTAAGAAAATAAAAAATAGACGTGAAAACAATAAAACATGAAATAAATTGATTTATGAGATAAAGAAATGTAAATTAACAGACATATCTAAATTAAAGTTTGAGTTGCAAAAAAGAATAAAAAGCATAAGACTGAAAAATATATAGACTAATATTTTACATTAAAAATAGCAAATTGGTATTAACTGATCAACACTTAAGTGCGCATATTCATTGGGTGTCAGGCGGGTGGGAGCGGGGAGGAGGGGATGGATATATTCACACTTAATGGGTGCAGTGCTCACCATCCTGGGATGGATACGCTTGAAGCTCTGACTCAGGTGGGGCAAAGGCAATATATGTAACCTAAACATTTGTACCCTTGTAATATGCTGAAATAAAAAAAATTAAAAATGGCAAATATCTGTAGCAAATACAGGCATGCCTCATTTTATCATGGTTCACTTTATTGTGCTTTTTACAAATTGAAGGTTTGTGGCAAGCCTGCGTTCGTCAATTCTATCGGCACGAGTTTTCCGACAACATGTGCTCACTTTTTCTGTGTCACATTTTATCAATTCTCATAATATTTCAAACTTTTTCATTATTATTATATCCCTGATGGTGATCTGTGATCAATGATTTTTGATGTTACTGTTGTGATTATTTTAGAGTGTCATGAACTGCACCATACCCATATAAGAGAGAAAACTTAACTGATAAGTCTTGTGTTCTCACTGCTCCACTGACCAGCTGCTCCCTATATCTCTCCCTCTCCTTGTTCCTCTCTATTCCCTGAGACACAATAATATTGCAATTAGGCCAATTAATAATCCTACAGTGACTTCTAAGTGTTCAAGTGAAAGGCAGAGTCGCATGTCTCCTATTTTAAATCAAAAGCTAGAAATAATTAAGCTTAGTTAGGAAGGCATGCTGAAAGCTGAGATATGCCAAAAGCTAGGCCTCTTGTGCCAAGCAGTTAGCC